AAACAAAACCATAACGAAATAAAAATAGAATTTGCTACCTCACATTCCTTGCTCTTTCGAAAAAAGTGATTACATTAGTCACTCCTAAATTCCCAATTTTTCGTATCCTTACTTTTAACGATCTCGTTATACTGACATCATGAATCCTGCCCAGTTTAAGTACATATACCTTACAATGAAAATTCGTTCATATTCTTCCTTCTGGCTCAGGTTACGGAAAATCCTCGAGTCCGAAAACAAACTGAGCTACAATAATTAATTAACTAGTTAGAACAACAGATTAATTCATGTAATCATTATTTACACACACTTTACCAATGTTAAATATCTGTACGTAACCGATATAGGAAACTGGTGTCAGTCTGATAACTCGTAGAATCTAAAAGTTCATTGGATTAGCTAGGAGGTGAGTTAGCGTTTAAGTGTAAACTAAAAATTGACAGATAAACTAAACGATAGAGAGAATAAGTTAACTGTAAACAAAACCATAACAAAACAATATAGTTTGCTACCTCACACTCCTTTCGAAAACCGAAGCGAGTACATTAATCACTCCTAAATTCCCAATTTTCGTATCCTTACTTTTAACGGCCTCATTATACCAACACCAAGAATACTTTACAGTTTCAGTACAGATACCTTACAAGAAGAAATAATTCATGTTCATGAATCTTCATCTTCTCTACTTTCCTGCTCTAATTCACTTTACAGGAAGTGTTCGAGTTCAAAGACCACTTACGTTAAGCAGAGGACATAAATGACTCATCAGTACGTTACGTCGAAGGATGAGATGTGGACACACCAGAGTAAGTCCTTTATTTTGATGGAGAGGAGGGCGCAATCTGAAAGCCTTCTTGCGCCATTTAAATTTTCTGGAACGGCATAGGACGATGACCATTTCCTCTGGTGTACAAAAAAATTTACTGGAAAAAATTCATTTTAGAAAAGTAAAATTGTCCTGTTAACACGATATAACCTAATTTATATAAAAATGGAGAAACACAAGTCTTAACTTTGAATTTTTCATTCAGTCTTAGAATAAAGTTCAGTAAGATTCACTCCAGAACATATTTGATGTATTCTTAACGATAGTAGCGAGTTACCTACTTTTAATTTTGTCCGAAAGAGACTAACGGGTTTAAGCTTCTCGCTGTATCTTCCGATGTTTTTCAACGTTGGATATTGGCTTCTGTATGACACTTCTAGGAAGATCTGTTCGTTCATCTACGGTTCCAGGTAATGTTGGGTTTTTTTGTTTCCAAAAAGTCCTTCTTTGACTCCTTGTAAACTATCAAATAGCCTGCATACAGTGTATGAATGAGCCAGTGGCCAGAACTTTCCACTAACACGAAAGAACAATATGCCATTAATAATAGTTTAATATTTATATAAATAAATAGAAAATGGAACGGAAGAAAAACGTGTATAAACTATCGAATAACAACAACAACATTTGAGCACTATCTCACGTGAGAAAAGTCATTGAAACTCATGACAAAGTCTTTATTCAAAACATGAAATTAAAAATTTTGCAACAAATATCTGAAAGTCACCGGTAATGGAAACTGGTGTCAGTCTCATAACTTTTAGGAACTTTAAATGACGTAACTGATTAGAATGCGAAGTAGCGTTTAAATGTAAAAACAAATGTTACAGGTTAACTAAACAATAGAAAGAATGATAAATAAACAGAAAACAAAACCATAACGAAATAAAAGTAGAATTTGCTACCTCGTATTCCTTCCCCGTTCGAAAACCGACGTGATCACATTAATCACTGCATATAAATTACCAGTTTTAGTACCCTTACTATTAATGATCTCATTATACTGACACCATGAATCCTGCCCAGTTTAAGTACTTATACCTTACAAAGAAAAGGCGTAGTGTTCTCAGATCTTCAGCTTCTCTACCTTCTGCTGAGATTCAGGTTACGGGAAGTTAAGTCCAAAGACCAGCTAAGTTGCTATAATTAATTAGATGAAGAGATTTGAAATAATGTGATCATTATTTATGTATTCATTACCAACATTAACATATATAAGTCACCGTTATAAGAAACTGGTGTCGGTCTCATAATTCAAATTTAAAATTGATGTGAATAACTAAAATGTAAACTAAAAATTCACAGATTCACTAAATGATGATAGAATGAATAATAAATAAACAAATCCAAAAGGAAATAAAATGAAACTTTCTACTTCACACACTTTCCTCTTTAGAAGAAGTGATTACATTAATCAGTTTATTTGAAATTAAGTCCTTACTTGTAACGTTATACTGACATCTTTCGCAGTTTAAGTACAGATACAGTTCAAGGATGAAACCATTATATTATATATTCGACTTTATCATTCGGTTCTGGTACAGGTTAACGAAGTTCGAGTTCTAAGACCGGTTAATCTGCAATAATTAAATAACAAATGATATACATACTCTTTACCAATATTAATATCTATACGTCACTAATAGAGGAAACTGATGTCAGTCTCATAATTCATACAAATTAAAAATTGATGAGATTAGCTAGAAGGTGAGTTAGCGTTTAAGTGTAAATAAAAATCCAGAGCTCAACTAAATCATAGAATGAATAAACGAACGGTAAAGAAATACATAACAAAAGAATATGCTATCTCACACTCCTTTCGCTTTGACAAAGAATGTGATAATATTAAATCACTGCTTATAAATTCCCAATTTTCATATCCTTACTTTTAAAGCCATCGTTATACTGACATTATGAATCCCCCTACAGTTAAGTA